AAAAAAAAAAAAAAAAAAAAAAAAACAGTTTAAATTAAAAAATTAGAAAAAAAAATTTAAACAAGTTTTTTTTTCCTTTTCTCAATATTTCTTAGTTTACTTAAAATATATTTAAAATTTTATACCTATAACATTTACACATACCTATGATGACCTGGAGAAGTAATTAAAATTTGCAAATATGTCTTTCTTTCTTGAGTTTATGATTATAACAACTATTTACTGATAAAAAAATGAATATTAATCATGAATATAAGCTTATAAAGTATCTCTTGGCTCTCTTTTACAAACAAATAAAGTAAACTGTGTTTTTAAGTTCCACCTTTGAAAATTTGATTTCCGGAAACTTCTGCGATCAATGATTTTTTTAAACGTCTAGACTTTTGATCTCCAGAAACTTCCTGAACACTGTTAGCAAAAATTCCAGAAATCCGGATTTTTTCCGGAGCACAATCAGCCCTGCATAATACAAAACTAGTTTGCATTCTGAAACCAAACCAGTTGGCCCATGTCATTAGATAGGGAAACATTCTTCTAAATTTGCTCAATTATATGAACTTTGGAGCAAAGGTCACCAATCTTTTAATCCCCATGGATCATCAAGCAAAAAAAATTTATACTTCGGACCATCACTTCATTTTTTTAGAGGAAGGGAAAAGTTCTCCTTTTGATTAGGGTGAGTTTTGAAATGTCCCAGCCCAAAACAAAATTTATGTGTTTAAGCAATTTTCAAAAATTGTACTAATTAAGAGGTTATTCAAGGTGGAAAGTTTTCAAATGAACAGTTTCTGTATATTTCTAAATAAATTTTTATTCACGATATTTAAGGATGAGAAAGAAGAGTCAAATTAAGATAATAAATTAAAGTTTGCTTAATACTTACAATAAAAGTATTAATATTCAATCAGTGGAAATAAGGAAAATTTGATCCCACCAAAGCAAAAATCTTTGTCTGTTAACAATTCGATCACAACCGTAATAAATTCTTTTACAGACTTGCCAACCTCCGTAATTCGTAAGGCCTGCGACATTTTATGACCAAGGCAAAGAATTTCAAAACAATAATAAATATTAAAAATACAAATTAATAAATTCACACTTTCTTTAAATTAAACTTATCTAAGCAACTTTATTACTACGAAAATTACAAATTCCATTTTATTAAAAATAGATTGGGTGACTGGTTCAGCATTAATTAGTAATGTTATAAAGATATTTTTTAACCTATAAAAGGCTTTGTTGGCAAACACAACTTTTTGCTTTATTTTACATAAAATATTATTTTAGCAAGTAATTTTTGAGCCTAATTATTTAAAGATAAGGAGAAATTCTAAAATATAAGTGGACTTAATATTAGATACATTCTGAAGCTTGGTATTTTTCCGAGGACATTAACTGGAAAACACACATCATACACACAGATAACTAAATTGCGACCCGGATGAAATCCTGAAACCCATCTAAATCAAAATATCAATACATTTGAAATATCTAACAGCCTCAGAATTTTAGACAAGTTAGTGTTTTAGCTTGTCAATAATTTGGTTGGTCATCTTGCATGGAATTACCACAGCTTGGTAGCTTTTGGAGGTGGATATAAATCGAAAAAAAAAAAAAAGCACTTTGAACCTGAATATTTGCAGAGTTGGGTGTGGGAGAAAATTGTTGAAATCCCTCTGCACAAAAACCTTAATACTCCGATAACCAACGGAATTTCAGCTCAGCTTGCTAATTTGGTCTTATCTTTCATTGAAATTATCACAGTTTGGTAGCTTTTGGGGATGAATAGTAATTGGAAAACGAACATTGTACACCAAGATTTGTCAAGTTGTTTCAGATATGAAATTGCAACCTGGATGAAATCTTGAAAATGCTGAACTCCATCTACAACGAAATCTGGACACAAACAATACATTCGACAGCTTATCGATATTTTACTTATTTGGGATTTCGTCTGAGTCAGGATCTTAGAAGTTTTTTTTTTACTGTGTTGGGACTAAACACCAAGCTGACATTTTGGCACTTGTTTGCTCTTAGGCTATATAATCCGAAACCTGCAAAACTAATAAAAAATGTTCCTCCCAATCAACTTGAAAAATAAAAAAATGCTGACTCAAGATCAAAACCAAGGAGGTGGTGAAGCATCCCACTCACCCTGATTGACGATGCATCTTATTTTGACACCCATTTATTGAGGAAAGCATTGACCTTATTTTCCTCCTGGTTTATGCTTAGATGCAAAGTCTTTGAAGATAATTCAATGCAAATGTGTATAAATAAAAATTTTGCATATTAATAATATTTTTCCTTAATACCAAGTTGTAAACCCACCGTACAAAAATCGAGAGCTTCAATCTTAGAACTTCATTTAACTTAGATTATTATCCAATTATTGAACTTTAAAAAAAAGTGTATTCATTATTTTTATTAACTATAATTTTATGATGAAAATATTTAATTTATGTGAATGATGTAAATTCTCAGAGAGCATTCAATAAATATTAGAAATATGTATGTACTAACTTGCAAAATGGATAACTGCCTTTCTAAGTCTTTAACTACAGCGGCTTGTGATCGGTATTTTTTCTCTTGAGCCTGAAAATAAAAACATGTTTAAACATGAAATACTAGATTAAAATACAGCATTTTTATTTTAACATGGATTACAATACAATACCGTATGAACAAAATAAAGATTTCAATGTGACTTTCAAAAAAAAGAAGATATTTTTGATAAATCTATTGCTGCTCACACAAATATACGCAAATACAATAAATAAAATTAGTAATATAAATTAACTGGGGTTTTGACAAGCTAGTATAATTTTATAGTTTAAAATAATGGAAAATGTTATATAACAATTCTTTCTCCTTTCTTAAAAAGCTAATATCAAAATTTTGCAGAAGCTCAAAAGTTTTGATTTTCGACCAACCTTGGTGCAAAGGCTTTCAAAAAATATTACATTTGTAATATACTAATAGATAAAGGTGATAATTAAATTCTGATAATTTAAACTAGCCAATTAAGAAACTATTCCATAAGTAAACAAAACAAGAATAACAGATAAATGTAATATTTGATAACAAGGATCAATTGTTATACTTCAGTGGGATTTTTTACAACACAAAACATATAAAAATAGTGAACAAATATTTTTTTTAAAAAAAAAAAGAAGAAAAATAATATTAAATTTGTAACATTTTTTAATATCACTGGTGGTTTTGAAATTTTTATTTTTATTGCTTCGAAATTCTCACACTTTTTTATACAACTTGGCAGTCTTCTATCAGATACGTGGATGCTTTGGCATAAAAAAGATGGTCTTTTTCATGCACAGAACCTATGCTGGTTGAAAATTGAGGGACGTTCTTCACAAGCACAACTATTTGGGAGAATAAAAAAATTATGGCTTTCTAGTTGCAGAATGGTCAACGAATCAACTGACAAATCAATTATTTACAAACACCAAATAACTTGTTAAACAGATTTAAGTAAATGTCATAAAAACTTTGTTAAAACTTATTTTTAGAAATTAAGCAACAACACAAATTTAACAAAAAAATGTTTCAGACTTTAATCTTAACAATTCATTGATTATTATGGCTAGTTTGTTAGAATATGTATTAAGCAATCATTCAAAACATAAAAAGTAAGAACATCAACAAAAGATTATAAAGCACAAAAAAATTCAATATTTCCCAACTGTATTTACCTGGTATTGTTTTAAAAAATCATCACGTTCTTTTTCAAGTTCTTTAGTGTCCCGTGAATTCAATTCTTCTAAGGCCACTAGAAAACTGTGTAAGATGTCATGATAGCAATCGAAAAGTTTCTTCAATAAGTTATCTTTTGTTTTTATGATTTGTGTGAGACTACCAGAATGACTGCTTTCAGACAAAGCCTATATTAAAATAGACAAGAAATGAATTACAATAATATGTAGTAAGAAAAAGTATTTTCAGTTTCCTATTTAAAAAACACCAACAGAAACAAAAATTAGACAACTAGAACTTTTTTTCTCACCATAGAATAGGGGGAAAGGGACTGGGTTGGTTGACTTTTTAGTTTAAATTTTTTTATCGCAATTAAAATTCCATTTCGTCCATTCATGATTTTTATTCAAAATCCTCAGTAGGTAATTTTTTTAAAATAATAATTTTTTAAAAAATCCTTAAAGCATGAACAAACTTGAAGTAAAAACTTTAACCTTCATGTATTAGAATTAATCTTTAATAATTATAACAGCTGACATATTTTGCTCTATTCTTATAGAAACAAATTTTAGAAGAAAAATTCAAAAAATCCCTTAGCAGTGCTAAAAAACAACTTGTTGGAATAAAGATGGCACTTTAACTGAACTATGTGATTTTTTTTTTGTGAGATATATAGTATTGGTAGTGCAAAGTGTTAAAGGAGAAGCTAAACTAAAATATTTAATAGTATGAAAATAATTGAACCTTCTCCAAAGTGTCTATACTGTCTTCCTGTATACATTTGTTTTATATCAATACTTTCCCAAAAAGACAAATGATTTGGAAAATCAAAGATAAATGGATGAAAAACGAATTGTTCTAATTGCTACTGTTGCAAGTTTCTGAATAGATACAAAAAATCATGACAAGTTTCTGAATAGATACAAAAAATCATGAATCGGCATTCATAATAGAATAAAAGATTTTAATTAATAAAAACATCTAACTTTCTCAAGATCAAATAATTATAAATATTTACTTACAAAAATTTTTTTAGCGAAAATTAAAAAAAAAATTTTTTAAGTTTTTTTAAGTTTTAAAAAACAGTTAAGTTGTAATAAAATACTTACATTTTCAAATAAAGAAATTGAAAACTCTAAATCTTCTAAAGATCCAAATAAATTGTTAAGTTCAGTTTCAACTTTAGATACTAACTCTTGAATAGTATCATCTTGAATGTTTAAATTTCCAATTAATCTATAAAAGAAGCATAAAATTATATTACTTATTAAGTCATTAAAAAAATAACTTTTAAAAACAAATTAAAAGCAACCTCAAATTAAATGAGAATATAAAGGTAACTAAGTATTTTATTTATTAAAAGTTTTGAAGAAAAAATCTGACATAAAAATAGATATAAGAGCAATATAAATTTTTGAAATTCTTTAATCTCTGAAACATATTATGCACTAATGCTGCTCATTAACAAAAAAGAAAAAGTAATGTACTGAAAATTATCAATGTAAAATAAACTAAAAACTAAGCTAATGTATTAAAAATATTTTGCTGTAGCCCACTAAAAAAAAAAAAGTGTGGGCACTATATAATAGTAACTTTTTTTTTTACTATAATTAAATACATAAGCAGTTTATAAAAAGAAAGAAAAATACTGCTGCTGATTAATGTATTTAACATTACCACAAAACACTTTCATTTTCATAGAAAAAAAACTAATAAAACAAAGTTAAATAAACTAAGGGGCAGTAATGGAAGATTTCAGGACAATCACTTATTGATATAACTATTCAATTATCTGACAGTATTCAATATCACATTATTTCATTCCAGGTTCATATATTTGTTACATTTTCATAGAAATAAATATTTTTAAAATTGAACTTATATGTAACCAAAAATTTAAATGTTTTTTTAAATTAAATAAAACTATCTCTCACATAATTTTTCTTGACTTGAAAATCAATGCTCGTAAAATATGCATATAATAAATATCGGAATATAACAATCATATTCAATAAAATAATATTGCTAGAAATGTTAATCTTAAAATATGTGTATCTTTTGAATGTATATTTGGATCAATTTCAACAATCTGTTTATTTTCTATCTAGGAAAAAAAAAAGTTTTTTTTTCTTTTTCTATTTTGTTATTAATTTTTTTCATGTGAATTGGAAATAGAACTGAAATATATAGCAACTTTTCAATGGAAAAAAAACAACAATAAATTCTACAACTATTCAAAATATTTATTGCAGAAACACAACAGCTTGTAATTATAGAGTTAAATGAAAAACAAATAATTGAAAAAATACTTTTGAAAATACTCACCTCTTATGCTTTTGTAAAACTGGTCTGAGAGACATGTAATATAGATTAAGTACTCTATGTTGTTGCTTAATATCATTCAAATAAATAGATGAATCATCTTTGCTTTCATCAGATGATGCATTAAGAGAAACTGATTCTATTTCTTTACTATCTCCTTTAGAATATAAACGTTCAATAGCTGCAGAAGAATTTTTTGATTTCTAGAACAAAAAAATTATAACATTTATGCTATTACAAGATAAAAGTTTCAAAGCTACAAAATGTTTTAATTTTTAGAAAAGAAACATAACAATCTTACTGAACAAAATTAAGAAAATATATTAATGAAATAATAGTAAGAATAAAAAAATTTAAACTTCATGATTTTATTCCTTGTTTGAAGTCTTTAAATTAATGGTTAATTCTATACTTTTCAATTTTGAGAGGCGATTAATTTGTCAATGCTAAGTATTTTTTATAATAAATCTAAACAATAGCTGAATTTACTTGGATCAGCAAAATGGATAAATACCATTATTTATAAATGCCATCTGTAAGTATTTATAAAAATTGTAAACTTTGCTAAAGGATAAATTTTAAGCTGGAAATTTTTTTTATCATAGAGTGGACAGTTAATACTAATTATTGTGATTTTAACATTATTTACCAGCTATTATTTTCCTTTTTTTAGAAAAGTAATTTATTCATAAGGAAAAGGAAGGAAAAAAGTTGCAAAGGATGGAGTTAATGGAAAAATAAGTTTTTTCATTAATTTTTTTATGGAAAGAAAAGCAAAACTTCAATTAACCAATAAAATTCATTAATTTGTTCATGAAATATAGAAACAAAAATAATTGGTGAACAAAAAGAAAGCACAGTTCTGTAGAAAAGAAATAACCTTCATGTTCCTAAGCAATTATGATGCAAACAATATGTAAAATGCAGTTAAAGATGGATTTTTATATGATCATTGTATCACATCTACGGACAACATGTAGCTCAGAGGATAAATGATGCCTTCTAACCTTGTAAAAATTAACATGAAGAAATTTTGAAGCTGTTTTCAAAAACTAATTTCAATTAACTTTAAAAAAATATAGTAATTATAACATTAACATTCTAAAAAGTAGAATTAGTATTCAAGGTGTCAAAAAAATGATGTTTATATAACAATTATTACCCATAATTGCTGTCAACATGTCTGTCTAAATATTTGGGCATGAGGTCCTTCATAGGTCAATCTGCTGTGCATGTGGCCCTTTACTCAAAAAGGTTGGACAACGCTAGTTTAAACACTTTAGTAACAAAATTTACCTCAAACATGCATAAGAAAATGTTAAAATAATGAAAATTAAAGCCGGTAAAATGCAGGGTACTGAGCCTCAAGGCTTCTATCAGGTATTATACTTTAAATAAAACATTGTAATGAAAATAACATTAATATATAATAAATAATGTTATTTTAAAGGCTTCATTATTACAGAAAGTTTGAGTAAAAAATAAAGAAATATTCACAAAAGTTNTGTACGGTAATGTACGAAGGGGGGGAGGGGGTTAAAATGTCTCCATTTTTGTGTACGTACTTTTTGAACAGCCCCTTAGTAGTAAATTCTACCTTAAACATGCATAAGAAAATGTTAAAATAATGAAAATTAAAGCCGGTAAAATGCAGGTAAAATTCAGGGTACTGAGCCTCAAGGCTTCTATCAGGTATTATACTATAAATAAAACATTGTAATGAAAATAACATTAATATAGAATAAATAATGTTATTTTAAAGGCTTCATTATTACAGAAAGTTTGAGTAAAAAATAAAGAAATATTCACAAAGTAAAACAGTCATGGTACACAGATCTGAACTTGAGGTAATAAAAACCATGCTTATTGATGAAGCATTCAGAAGTTAAATCTGCATAATATTATATAATATTTGAAACCTGCATGAAACATATGGCAAACCAGTATATAAAATTAAATTCCAAACTGCCATGGAATGAATGTTAAGCTAATTATAATATTCATATAAATTAAAAGAAAAAAAAATCTCACCTCTACATCATAAGTTACATTAAGTTTAGAAAAGTGCATGGTTAGAACACAATTATCACTTGAGGTTTTCAGGATACTTTTACGATATAACTTGATATTATTCGGCTACATGAAACAGAAGTAATTATAAAATTATATCAAATAATTCCAAAAAATTTTTAACTAGCAAAGAGACTACATAAAACATATTATTAAAAGAATCTTAGAAACATTAGGTTTTTAACTTTCAGAATTTCAAATAAGTCACTTTAAATAAAAATGATGAATTCAGAGACTGCTGCAATAAAAAGTGTTTAAGATCATGAATTATATTTTCATAACTTTGAGGTTGGACATATTTCATTAGTGATTGCTTTAAACACGTAATGTGCTGATAATTTTCAAACCTACTCATTTGAATTACAGAAAATAATCATATGATAGGACAAGATTTTGCCAGTCAAATTTTAGATAATATTACAATAAAAATTAAAATAGTTTTTTAAAGGGATAGATTAATACAAAGTCAGTCATCTCATTGTTTTTAATGCATCGATAGGGGATATTTCTATACTGTGTCGATTGGATTTTTAACTTGAAAATTTAAAAATAAAACATATAGAGCAGTGTTCCTTAACCTTTTTGATATAATGGACCCCTTTTAAAAATACTTAAGAAGTCACGGACCACCCCCTGTGAAAAAAATAATTGCAAAAAACGTCAATTATCAGAAAACATTTAATTTTATTATTTTAATAATATACAAAATTTTTAGAATTAAAATTTTAAATTTGAAGTTTGCTGCTGCTTTTCTTTACTTAACAAATTGAATTGGGGGATAGTTTTCAACAAAGCAAACGGGCATATCATGTTCAACATTCAATCGATTTCGATGTTATGTTTTTACTGTCACAATTGTGGAAAATCTCACTTCACAATGATACACTGTAGCAAACAGAATTATAGCTGCCATAACTCACTTTACAAGCAATGGGTAGGCTTCCAAACGTTTTAAAAATTAGGAGTAGTCAGCGTACCCCCAAAATATAACTCATGGACCCCTTAGGGGTTCATGAGCCACAGGTTAAGAAAGATACCCCGATATAGAGGTTTGCCTGAGAGTGTCTAGGAGTTATATCTATCAAGTTAGTCTCCTTCAGTGGCAGTAATTTAGTTTCTTGCAAGGCATTGTCGTAAGTTGCCAGGCCTGTGATTATTCTGCCACAGATCAGGATATGGAAATCTCCCCTATCGATATTTCCTGATAAACGAATACCTGACTTTATTACCAATGTATAAGTTGACCCCAGATTTTAAAACAATTCAAGGGATTTGAAAAGTTGATTCACACACCCGGATAACTGGAAATTTTTATAAGAAGAAATATGAAAATGATCTTGTTGTCTGAGGCCATTGAATCTGCATGGAATCGAATCTGCATCAATATATTTAAAAATTACAGACATAAAATTATTGCAAAAGCAAATAATCTTTAATAAATTTAAAATTAAAACTTTATTTCATAGAAAAACAATGTCATTGAAATCCCAGTAATAAACTACTGGTAGAAAAAAGTGTTGAAGTAAATTTAAAAGTTCTATAACTAAGAAAATGCAGATATCCTTCACACACACACCTAAATACAAAGCTGGGGGAAAAAAATCCACAAACATTGAATTTAACTACAAACAGGAACCTATTTAAATGAAAAATCTTTATTTTAGTTTAGAAGATAATTCCGAATCAGAACCAGTTTACGCCTCTGAGTATTGCCACGACTCAACAGGGTTTTTTGTTCTAGCAAAATATAAGAAGAAGAAAAATTCTTCTATACAAGTATACCCTTCAAATTAACCCCATTCTGATATGTTGTTTTTAAATTATCGCTTGTTTGTCGTCAAAATTTGATGCAGGTACTTATATGGAAATCTTCTTGAAATATTAAACACCTTTGCTTAATTCACGAACTTACATTTTCCTTAGAGGGAACATAATCTTTGCTTGTTCTACCTGGTGGTATCCAATGAACTTTTTTCTGTTTAGTCTCGTTTCGATGCATTACAAATTAATTTCTGCAATAAAAATTTTGATATTGAATAAAAAATACCAAACAATAAATAGCTTTAACAAACATATTGGAATAACAATTACATGAAAAAGGAGAGGATATTAACCAGGGACTTACATATTAGTAAACAGAAAGAAGTTAATATCCAATGAGGAAATATAAACATCATATGAAAGAAAAGTTTAGGAAAATGTGCATCTAAATATGTGTAAACATTTTTTCGTATTAATATACAATTTTTCGCAACAAACTTCCACAATTGTTAAAGTTTGACATCACGAACTATCAAGAGTAAACAACTTTCGAAATACCACCAATATTTTAATGGAAGTAGCAGTACATTGAAAACTATACATTGAACCATTTCTCCTAGGAGCTGTTCACGCTGTAAGTAAAAAATATGAGCGGAAAATAAGAGTTATTTTTACTGCTCACGATTCACGCAACTCTGATCACCATCAAGGACCATCATCATCAATCTGATTGGTGAAATGCCTGTAGTGGAAGTCCTGCCTGTCTCGCAAGTCCTGTAGTGGACTGACCGTAAAGAAACGGTTACCAGTAAAATACCAAAGTCAAGCATCACTGGCAACGGCATCGATCAACGAGTGGGTGAAGGGATCGAAGGTGTGTGGTATTTGTTTTCGTTAAACTGTTCCATCTTAAATTTCTAAAAAGTTCGGAAGTTTCCCCAGAGAAAATATACCCTGTTGTTTTTCATTCGAATTCTTTTCCATTTATTCTGGATACATGCGAAGAATTTATCTTTTTCTATGGATCGGTAAATCGAGTCTATAAAATTTTCTTTGTGATGAATGGTGCCGGAAAATTTTTCAGCTCATATCCAAACGTAAATCATACTACTACTACTAATACTAATAATAAAACATTGATTAGCAATTAAACATGGGTCTGTAATTTACTTTGTTCATGAAGAAACCTAGGAATAGCGAGGGTATTTTACGATAATCATGCTTTGGATGGAAGATTGGAATCTTCTCATAAAAGTTTGTCGGTTGTGAAAATATTTTTTGTTTAACAATGAATGAAATTATGTAAACAATTTCATGTTTGGAACAAAGTAAAGCGGAAAAATAAAGTAAATTATTTATCATTCGGCTGTCTTTTTTTCAATAAAAGATTGTTAAACCGGACGGGAGAAATAAGGAATGTTTAAAAAAAGCAGAAAATGGAATAAAAAAAAAGAGGCAATATGAGTATGAATTTCGCCTCTTCTATAAAGTAGAATGCGGCCTGAGAACAAATAGCACCAGAAGAAGAAAATTGCAAGAGCACAAAAATGTTCTAAAGAGCAGGAAGAATAGCAGGTGTTTGGAATTGGTAACCACAGCCCATTTTAATGAATCGTGTCCAGTTACTCATGAAGCGGGGAATTTGGTTGGGAAAAAAATTAGAAGTAATCTTCACAAATCCTCAACACATCTGTGAGATATTTCTTAAACGTAAAAGAACTGGATATTCCCAAAACAGACAGAGATCTCCAGGATATCTGAATATCCAAGAAATAAATGTCAGAAAGTTGGGGGTCACGACTTTGTGATGTTTAGTAGATATTTTAGTTATCGGCCTCTGTTGTATATCCGAGCTCATATACTGTTTACATATAATACACCATATTTCCCGATAATAATAACCAATAATTTTGAAACTCGATCAGATACACTATAACACAATATACTACCATACCAAAGTGTATAATTATCGATAAATTAGGGAGCGCACAATTGACATGACATTGTTACCTTGACAAATCGCAGAAATTACTTAAAAAGCTTCTTAGAAATTGGATCGCGAGGTGGACCCATAGAATTAAGTGGTATGAAACAAACAAATTGCTAGTCCTGAGAGTCCGGGGTTCGAACCTTTAACGTGATCAATTTATAAAAATTATATTTAAGAAAAGTAATTCTTTAATATTTATTTTTCCATATTGTAACGTAAATAAAATATTCATTTTCTAAAATTATTATTTATTTAAGTGCGTAGATGATATCATCGTCAATTATAGGAAATTGTTGCTCGTATAATGCATATATATGGATGGTGTTTTCTACACTAGGGAACGCTACAAGCTCGGTAGCACCTAAATTTCCGGGTTACTGTTTCCGTTGTATTTTAAAGCCATTTGGCATCATTGTGTTTTGAGATTCTTGCAAACAATGTATTTGATTACTTATTACTTGTGTTTACAATGCTAACAATACTGGTGTTTACAATGCTAAAAGTGTTAACACTAACGTAAGATGGTGCACAGCTTGCAACAAGAGCAAACAGTAATAAACTTATGGAAAGAGGTCATATCAAGACTGCCAAAAAAGCGAGTTATTCAAAATCTAGCAATCATGTCACCTTTTCTAACAACATATCTCTAAAAAACTAAAACAAATTTTCACTTCAAACTCACCAGAATTACATATTAACATTAATATCTTATGAAATATGGCAGATTTGAGCTCAGAAATTATCTAATTTATTTCTTTTTTGAAAGCAAAATTATCCGTTTGAAAACATCGCCTATCAGAATAACATGTAGTAAGCAGCTACAAGCTTTTTAACTGGAACTAGAGTAGGTGCTGAGCTCGAGATTGTTATTGTTTACATTTCTATTGAAAACACCATCCACAATACATCGTTTTCCCCTTTATTAACTTACAGTTTTGAAACTTGGTCTGATATTATACTATAACGTAATATAGTACCATAACAAAGGAAATAATTATAGACAAATTGGCGAGTGCGCAAATGAGGCAGAATGTGGTTAACTAGACAAAGGGCGGAAATTTTTTTGGAGAAGCTTGTAATAAGTCGGACCGTCAGGTGGACTGGTAATGTTAAGTAGCATAAAGCAATAAATTGCTAGTCCCAAGGAACCGGGAATCAAACCTTGAACATGGTCTATTTTCAAAAATAATATTTAAGAAAAATATTTTTTTTATTTATTTAACTATATTGTAACGTAAATAAAATATTCCTTTGTTTGTAGTATATAATGCAAGCGTAATTAACTTATAATTCTGAAACTCGGTCAGAAATACTATAACACAATATCTTACTATGTCATAAGAAATAATTATGAACAAATTAGGGGGCACACATAGCATTATATGGTTATCTTGACAAACCGCAGAAATTACTTATAAAACTTGTTATAAGTCAGGCAGCTAGGTTGACCGGTGCTGTTAAGTGTTGGTATGAAGTAACAAATTGCTGGTCCCGAAGATCCGGGGTTCGAACCCTGTGCGCAGTCAAAGTTTAAAAATTATATTTAAGAAAAATAATTATGCAAAACTACAAAAAGGCCGTAAGAGTTTGATTCTCATGAAACAGTTAGATGCTAATGGTATGGTATGAAGCACCAGTAAGCAATTATATGAGTAAGCAAATTTAATAGCAAATTCATGAATTATATGATAAAGTGCAGTTTATTTCTCTAAAAAGAGAAATTGAAAATGAATATTCATTGACATAGTGGAAATATTCTTCTTTTCGTAATTTAGCTCTAATAAATAGCAAGTAAAATTACAAGTATACCAGCCAGTTGAACAACGAGTGTAGGAGATTTCAGCTTAGCTGGTAGTGTTTTAAAAGAAAAATGTAATTTGACTCCGAATTCTGTGGGCTCGATACTTTTTTAATGCATTATGCGTATTCAAAAATGGAAGAAAATGTAAAGGAGCAGAAGCCATTTTAATACTCTAACTGTACCACATTATGCCTCACTAAACTATAATTGTGAGTTATGATTCATATTAACACTGTAATTGTGAATTAAGAATATAAAAGACAACTCATTCTGTCTGAATAAACTTTAAACATAACAGTGAACAAATTGTAACAAATAATGATTAAGCTAATTCTCTTATTCTTATACTAAATGGCGAGTTTTTTACTAATAAAAGTAGTGTAGGACATTTATTTCTTTTTTCAAATTTAATATCACATGCATTTGGCACATTATTAATCTATAATTAAGTGATTTAATTTCCTAATGAATATATTTAAAGATTAGTTATCCTCATACTAGTCTTTATATTATATACCTATATCATGTAGGTACATAATATAAGAGCGATATCAAGGTCTGTCAAATCATTTACGAAGAAAGTTGGGTAAAAAAGAACTAAACCAGTTTAATTGCCGGATGAAACTTAATGGAATTTTTAATTATTTTCCTTCAACTTCTCTCGGTTTCCTCCTGCAATTGAATAGGTTCAATCTGTAATTTAATCTGGCTTTCTTCAAGTCTGAATCGTTAGATTTTGATAACTTCTTTTTTTATTTATTTGAACACCGATTTTGGAACCCTAATGGAGTGAACTTTCTGATTTTATTTCTTATGGTGATATATATTGAGGGCTGTTATTATAGAACAACCAGTCTAATGCTGTCAGGCTGATTCCTTATGGGAGCACCCTGTATGGGAAAATATTATTCGATAAACCAAATTTTTTCTGCCATCGTCTCTGTTGCTATATTAGCAGGGTTTCATGGAGGTTACGACTCCACAATTTCCAGTCCAACGACATGATTGTGACAGTGTGGTCGGTATTGTGCATAGACCGCCTTTACTTTCCAAACATGCTTGTGCCCATCGATCTGAAGCTGGAAGGGCTTCAAGCTACCCCTGGGAGTTGAACCCTCAACATAACAATAAGTTCAACATTACATTCATTCTGTGCCTTAACCATTGCTGCTCAGAGGTTAAGTCAATTTTTCATTATTTACTATAAAAAAAATTTAAAAAAACTTTGTTTTAAAAGTTGAGCTTGAAACAGACTTTCGAGTGATGTATAGCATGATATTTCTACCCATTTAAAATGTTAAAGTTTTCCCCTGTCAACTTAAGGGGGACTTAGTTTCCACCTAATTGAATAGTTCTTTTCAAAATATTCAATACACAATTTTAACTTAGTCAAACAAACGATTAAAACCTGAATTTTTTCGTGCGTCTCAAATTTCGCCCCATCCTTCCTAAGCCAGTGACTCATTTTTTCCCAAAAGAAAATATCAAAATATGTATAATTAGTAACTTGTCATTTCAAAAAAAATATGATTTTCTTTGTACATTTTATAGTTCATAATATACTAAAACGACATCCGGTGGCTGAGAAGTAGCGCTTCGCGCTGTCTTGCCACAGGTCCCTGGTTCGATCCTCTGGCCGGGCAAAGGTAACTCAGCCTTTCATCCCTTCAGTGGGTCGATAAATGAGTACCAAACATGCTTGTGCACTAAACACTGGGGGTTTCACGTTCGGCTGACCACCTAACCAGAACATCTGCTCCTGCACCCCAGAGCCCAAAGGTCAAGA